GTTGAAAGGGCTCAAAATGGGGAGTGAGATTTGGACCCATATTCTCTCCAGCCTCCTTTTTCTCTTTTACCTCTCTTCCAGTGAAACCTCCCTCAGCCCCTAGGCTAAAGTCTAAGGGCAGCATTACTATTCCTTCCACTCGGTGAATTCAGACTCATTCTGATGGTATAACTTTAGAGACCAGTTTATTGTCAGGCGTTCGGTGTCCCTAGAACTGTAAATTGAAGGTTTGTAACTGGACTTTTAAGTAAAACCTGTGCGTTACACTCAGGAGTTTCTTTTAGCAAAGCAGATTATCTTCAACAGAAAATGCAAGGCCAGTGACTTTGGACATTCAGAGGCATGAGTCGCATGGGTAGTTTGGCGAAGTTGGTCTCCAAGTATATGAGCAAAGGCGCCTGGGATCTGTTACCCCATACAGTTAAGTGGAAATCCAGCTGAAGCTTGGAGTTTGGCTGGGAAAGCTTGCAGATTTGATGAATCAATTCCTTTTAGCCGAAGAAACTATACTGGTTTGATTAACTAAGCAAAAAGCTAGATCTGTAATCACCACACCAGAATTCTTGCAAAACCAAGCAGTATTATGGTAGAGAAACTCCAGGATCAAACTCAACTCTACTTAGAGCTTTATACACAACTCTAGACCTAAGTAATCCTTAAAATTCTCTCATTTAGGAATTAGATCACTTAGTTGTGATTAGGGCAGCAAATGTCAAGATGCCATCAAATTGGAACCATTTTGTTACATTGATTTATGTTTTCCCTATTTTTACTGAGGAAAAAAAATGGCTGCCCAGGTTGACATTGAGAAGCAACTTATAATTGATGTTAAGGCATGCAGGGTTTTATATCCCTAAGAGATCAATTCTTCCTTCTCAAGGGATCAGACCTGCTAACTGACACGGTGAAAAATAACTAGTCACGTGGCTCTTTTTCATGAACTAAAAAAACAGAGTTCAGTTGTCAGATCTCAGTTGACAGCTTATCTGATTACAAAAATAAGAAGAAAACAAGAACTAATTTCTAAGGCTGTTTTATCCATTAGGTTCTGTAGACTCAGTGTCTGCCACCTCAAGTTCTGCCAAAAGACTAGAAAACATTTGGGACCCAAACAAAAATTATTGGCTCCAAAATAAAAGAAGAAAATGGAAAAATTGGGAAAACACTGTTTAAATACCTGGAAAAGGTACCAGTCACCTGCCATTCAACTCAATGTTCAGAGCTACATTTAAATTATATTTAATGTTCAGTGTGAGTTCATTTTAATATGCTCTAATATGTCATGGGATGGCCGCCAAGAAACTCTCATAGTGCCTTGCACTTATAAGAGTTTTTAAATGACCTGGCTAAATTTGTAATGAAAGGTTTCCAGACCAAGTCGCAATCAATGTTTGCTTTGCATTAGTTGGGGGAATTTTGGTTAACTTTATTGTAAATAGATTATTATCCAATAGAAAAATGAAATTTTCTTTCAAAGAGAAACTTGATAAATCCTAAATCTCATTTTCTTAATTACAAGTCAAATATGATTATACTTTGTTAAAAGTAACTTGCAAAAGATCACTATTCAGGATGAAATTCATTAAACAGGAACATATGTATAGATTCCAACTGAAAATTCAGACTAATTATTCAGAAATAAACTTCTTTAATTGTATGCAGATGATTCAGTATTTTATTATTAGCTAATAGCTTATGGATAAATTAATATTATTCTCCCAGATAGCAGACTAATCCAAGAAACAAGGCCGGGCACAATGGCTCATGCCTGTAATCCCAGCACTTTGGGAGGCCAAGGCGGACGGATCACCTGAGGTCAGGAGTTCAAAACCAGCCTGGCCGACATGGTGCAACCCCGTCCCTACTAAAAATACAAAAATTAGCCAGGCATGGTAGCAGGTGCCTGTAATCCCAGCTA